CCCACCAAAACAGACAACACCGAGAATTTCGATGCCGAAACAAAAATTACATACTTTATCCAAGAGAACAAGGACAACATCAATGTACGGATCGTATCCAGATATCCGGATACCCAGTCATCCGGATGGATGTGGCCAATCTTGAGCATCAAGATCCCAAAATGCGCGCCAAAGACTTGACCAACACGGATCGCAACGCCATCTTGCACCAGCTTCTGGCACTTGTACGAGAAAACAATAAGCTGCCACACGGGGCTCATGCCGCAGTGGCTGAGATCTTTGGAGTAGCTAGAAGCACTGTGCGACGAATCTGGGTTCGTGCCTATGTCAACTTGTTGGACAATAGACGGTCTTGCAATGACGTAGCTTCTCGGAAAAAAGGACACTGTGGGCGTAACCTAAAACATCAAGGAGTAGCTGACCGTTTGTGACGCATTCCAAAGGCCCAACCAAAGTGGTTGGTACACAGTCGTTGAAACGACTAATGCATGTGGTCGACTTCGGAGGCATCCCATCCCTCGACAAGGTCCTTGCGATTGACGGCAATGAACAGCGCCATGCTGCCCACAACATCGAACTCGCGAACTCTTTGTAAAGCTGACGTGACGACAGCGCGCTGGTGAGCTCGAATCCTTTGCAGACGCAAGGGTCGAAAACAGAGCGCGGCGATGGACGAGGGGTGTCGTACTTGGAGAGATACGAAGCATCGTCAAAGCCACTCTCGACCAAGTACTGGATCGAGCGAAGACAATGCAGGGCACGAACCCATGCGTGTCGAAGGCAATGGCCGCCATGTTGACAACGCAGGAATTTGCCGCAACTCGAGCATTATCCGGATATCTTATCCGGATATCGTATGGAACAAAGCGGCCTTGTTGCATGGAAACTACTTTACGTTGATGGCGATCGTGACGAGGAAGGAGACAATGCACTTGCTGAACTCGATGCTGAGTGAAACTTAGGAAGTACTTATTTCGCGCAACATACACATCTCGGTAGGTTAGAGATATGGTCACGAGCAGCTGGGGGGTGTGCGCTTCCCCCACAAGCTAGCACTGCATGGGATACGTTTAGGGGTTACAGGCGTCCCAGGTGATTGCGACTCCGTGAGCAAAGAGCTGCTGGACGGAGTCATGGCGCTGTTGAGCGAGCAACACGATGCGTTGGCTCGATTTGACCGAGCGTTGGAAAGGATTCCATGTGTGGGAACGGAGAATTTGCCATGAACAACGCAAAGGTCGATGCAATCAATTCGTGTTTTAACGGTGGGCCTTTCGACGAATGCTGCACCAGAGCCATGTGATCCCGATGAGCCGAAACATGACGTTGACGCAGAGCAACGCGACGACGTCGACAATCATGGAGTTCTTGTTGAGTCCCATGTTGGCCAAGACTTGGGCGCCCGTCAGCGCTTGGCAGTGCTGGCCTGTCGTGCACGGAATGGCGTCAATCGAGTTCCAGAACGCCCGGCTCAGGCCTCGAAACCCGTACTTGAGTGGCGACAAGTACTCGAGCCAGACAAAGTAGACGGGCGTCGTGTTGGAGTTGATAAAGAGGCCGCCAAAAATCACCATGGGGAGGGCGACGAGGACCCCAAGGATCTGGGCCACGTCCGGGCGGCGAGTGATGCACCCGACCATGTACCCCATGCCGACCGCGGCACTGCACAGGAGCGTCACAAACACGTAGAACGAAAAGAACACGCCGGCATCGCCCCCAAACCCAATCATAAAATACATGGGCAGCAGGAACACCATCGGGAAAAACACTTGAAAAATGAGCTCGCTCACGTTCTTGGCGGCATACCAGACCCAGGCATGGTACAGCCCGCCATGGTACTCTCGGATCATGATCGGCAGCTCAGTGGGGACGTTCGAGAACTCGGGCATCCCGTTCGCAATGAACTGGTTGACCGTCATGAAGAAGAGCGCCCCCGTGAAACTCTGGATTCCGTCTTGGTCTTTCTTCAGTTGAAGGTAGATGAGCCCCACGACAATGGACACAAACAAGTTTTGAGCAATCCGGGCCTTGAAACTCAGCCGATCGCGCACCAGCCGCATCACGTTGCGCTTGCAAAGCAGCACGAGTTGACCACCAGTCCCCAAACTCGAGCTCTCAAACGTCGCTCCGTCGGAGTTCAAGGCAGGGTGGACTGCAGGTGCGACGGCCTCGCGGCGCTTCCACGCTTGTACCAACGCTTCAACTCGTGTGGCGGCCTCCGACTGGGGGTCCAGCACGATGATTTGGCGCATGAAGTAGTCGGTCGGGTTCATGTACGTCGGGCACGGCAGCCCCTGCGACGCAAAGTACGCGACCGCCTCGGACGCTTTCCCGTTGTAGATCGTCTGGCCA